AGTTATTATTATTTTAGTTATTTAATATTTATTTATATAAGTATAACTGGTTGTCTAGCAAAAATTATGTAAGACCGAATTTCAAGCCTGGTACAAAAATTAAGAAAATTCGACAAATTTTAATCAAAATTTCGAGCTTTTTAATTGGATTTCTTAGAAACATTTGGAGTATGCAATTTTGTAGCCCATTTAATTTTAGTATAGTAATTTTTGGTAATTTTTTTGTTTGTTTGCTCCATATAAAAAATTTTCGAACTGGCAAAAAAATAAAAATTGCCAAAAAACACACACTTCAAAATTTACACTATATATAAAGACTGCATATCAAAATTTAAAAAAAAAAAATCTTTTTAAAACAGTTCGAAAATTTGATGATATTTTTTTAATTTTTTTAATTTTCCCAATTTTTGTACAAAGTTTTAAATTCGGTCTTAAAATGTTGCGTGCCTATTTATATTTTCGTCACCGTACATCATATGAGTACCTACATACATATGTACATATATATTTTCTACTTAGTCCACTGGCTGCTGGCTAACAGTTTGCCGCATGGTTAGCTGCTTAGCATTTCAGTGTTATTCCGCGCATCACTAACTCGCAGAGGAGAAAGTCTTTGCAAAATCAAAAAAATTAAAAAAAAAAAACATTAAAATAAGTAAATAAACGAATAATAAGAAGCTAGCTAGTATTTGACGACGACTTGTTTGATCGTTGGCCGAATTGTCGTTAAACCGCCTGCAGCTCATCCAATGCTGACACAATCCTTTCAGCTTAGACAGCCAACACTCACGTCAATGTCGCATAAGCGACCAAAAAAAGCGAGCTGCGAGCAAACTGCGACTGCACATAATGCCTCCATCGGCACTCCTATATAGGAACATACATATGTATGTATGTAGCTATGCTTTGTCAACAATGCGTGTTGCAACCATAAATGCACAACGCTAGCGGGTAGCTGGCTGGCTGTCCAACGCCTTGCCATGCAACTTCTGGCTTGCCTTTGATGGACAGCATTAGAGAAACATTAACATTTATTAACAGCTATCATAAAAACAACATATTAGTGAAAAATTGTTAGCGTTAATGGCACTCTAACCACACGCACTGCCGCATGGCGTGGCGCAATGATGGACCTGTGGACTGGCAGGCAGTTTATTTGGTTGGTGGTGTTCATGTTGCCGCAGGCATTTTCACTTTTTGGTGATCAAATGTGCAAATAGTTACATATTTATATACATATATGCATATGAAAATACCATATATACACATTATACATACATTGTCCAAGTACAAGCACCAATAAATATTGGTGCTTCCATACAGTGTGCCTCAAAAAGGTGATCATTATGGAGGCGGCTGAGTGGCAAGTATTGAGCATTATATCAACACTGAACAGAACGTCCACCCCAGGGAGTTCTTTTGGTAGTTATAACAAAATACAATCCCCGGCGCTTAAACCTTAGTTTTGCGAAATCCTTCAAATAGTTTCGGCGATGGGCGTTGGAGACGATAAAGTTAATCTCCTATTGGGTTGTGTTCTTTCTGGACATCTACCAGTAGGGCGAGTTGGTGCTGGGTCAGCTTAAGAATTTCTTTTGACTACCTACACTGAGGGAAATAATGCATAGTAAAAATGAATACTTTATATTTGATTGTCGTTTAAAAATGTTCGTATTTAAAAATAATATTTTCATACAAAATTTATTACGCACGTATTTGACTGTTCACATCTGAGTATGTATATGTAAGTGTACATACGCACCCCAAGCATGCAGAGCGCCGCACTGAGAGCGGTGACGAAACACACATACACACATAGCAAGAATGGTAGAATGAGAGTAGAATTCTCAAGAATTTCTGTCAATCGTGCATACATAGTACATACATATTTATCCGGACAAATCGCGTTCTTTGGTGTTGATGGATATTCAACATTTGAAAGCAAATTTATATGACTGGGTGTAGCTGAGTGCGCAAAGATGCTTGCCACAAGTTGTTGGTATCCGGAGATGGTCGGGTTCGAATTCCGCTGCAGGCAACATGCAAATAAATTTTTTTTTTAGTTTTTTCTTGATTATTCACTTCTCGGATGCTTTTTCAGTACGAACGCGGTCATTTTAATATGCGCGTAATTGAATTGAATATTTACCGATATACAGTACTTTCGTTGACGTTTATAGTAAGATCAATTACGTTTCTATTTGATTTTAATATTTTTTTCCCTCAGTGTATGGTCCATCACCAGCCAGAAGCACTTTGTCTGTTTTCATGTCAGAGGTTTCGGTCAGCGGTCACTGAGTAAGCTCAAACCATAAAGGATAGGCCGCTGGTAATGAGAGGAGCTCGCAAAAGTACCTCAGTGGAAGCGACCTCGACCTGAAATGCCGCTGTGACCTGAGACAGTGCTTTCCCTGTATACTATTGATCGCACCATAAGTATAAATAGTATTTACCGTTGAAATCGTTACTGCGTACGTACATATGTGGCTAACCGACTGCCTTCTTTATGGCGGATACCGCTGTTTGAAACTTGAAGTTTATGGAGAGTTCCTGACCGAACATTGGCTTCAATGCTTCCGCTGAACTCCCACCAAGCCGTGAATATATTTACTGGAATTCATTTTCAGAGGCTTCCTAAATTCCCCTTACTCCTGTGAGAGGCATGTAGGTAGAGAAGGATCCATTCCGATGAATTCGAAGTCACTAAAGATCATTGTGATGAAGGAGAACCCGTACGACGCTAAGCAAAATGTTAGGTTATGGAGCAGTAGAAAGGCACCAGTGTATGTAGACAATTTCCTTTCTTTCCAGGATCACGCCGAACGTCTTAACCCTGTCAGAGTTTGAGACGTATGTACCCCTGACGATATGGGCCATGTCAACTGCTCAACTCAAAATATGATCAGTTAAGTGAGTGACTGTAGTATTTTACATAAATGCTTCCACATTTTATTTTTGTCGCAAATACATACTTAAGGTATCAATTACGTACAGCTCAACCGCTTAATCATAAATAGTCTTAGGCGCTTACACTAAAAAAAATAAAAACCCTTTCCTTTTTGGCCAATGACCAGCGGTGCTGCACTCAAAGCTCAAATATCACCTCCACCTGTAATGTGATATTCTCATGTTTCATTGTACATGCATAAGTAATTGTAAAGTTGTAAATTATATCATATATATATATGATGTTGGATTGCATATTCATTGTACCTATTCGTACGTGTAGGGAGGGTCAGTCACTTGGACCATTCACATGCATTCTGCGAAAGATTGCCCAGCAAAAGACGTTCCAACTGAGTGCTCAAGGTAAGTCTAGTGGAAGGAAGGAATTGTGCGTTTACATGTACATATGTACTTGTGCTTACTTAGGTACATACATACTGAGATACGATTAAGTAAGTTATTGCGGTTATGTTGTGTAACTCTTGTCGATGGTAAAAACTGAAAGTGATCGCTGGGGCCATTGCCCAACATGGCGACTACATATACAAAGACAAAAACAATGTGCAGTGCTGTTGTGCGCTACAGAATGTAAGAATGGTTGCCAATGAGGTCGCCAACGAAGCGCATGAGAATAATTTATGTAGGCACTTACATACAAATGTATGTATGAAGTAATCGCGGCCTTAAAGAGGGTCTATGAAAATGCCAGTTAGCTTACAAGGATTCGCGGAACCGCCTGGCTATCTTTTCAAACACATATAATTAAGTAGTGCAAATTCTAAACGAACCCCTAAAATGGGTTCGAATCCTCCGTCGATCTAAGTTGGAGAGGAGTTGCCGACAAGCTACTAGGTATTAAGTATTAAACTTACTACCAACTACGTATTAGCCATAATTAACATCTGGTTACTCATTGGTCCACTTACTAAGTCGGAATGTGGGATTATTCTTTGGGAAAACGAGATATATGCGGGAGTATTTGGCTAGGATTGATACATTTCAACTTCTGTTCAGACGGAATTCCTTTACAGAAATCAATTTATCATTGATTGAGACGTAAAAAAACTCAAATATATGTGAGTTCTAAAATAATCGAAATTAATGGTATAAAGCTCCGAGGGAAGTCAGTGCTTCCACTTGGAAAGTAACAAGATCGTCAATGTGTTCGAAAAAGTGGTCCTCAAGAAATTTAAGGTACGTTCGAAGAAGCGCTGCTTTAAACTTAAAATAGTAAAAGCTCCCTGTAATCATCATTGTTATATAATCAGAAACGACACAAAAAATTTCTCGTGGGTGTAGCGTTTTAAAGCTTTTAAAGCACAGCGTTGCTGCTTACATTAGTGACGACCAGAGTGAGCTTTTACAGCGCAATACTGGCCATCGTCTTTCAATTCACCATAGTCTCTCGAAAGACAAAAGTGTTTCGTAAGGCAATTGTCAGTTCTGGCAACTATCTCAAAGCTCTTTACTGTCTTTCGAAAGGCTAATTGAAAGATCTTCTAACAAGGAGGTATTAGCGTAATGCTTTTCGCCTTTTAGCAATAGTTTTTTTAAAATTTAATCAAATTAAAAAAACACAAATGTTTGTATATTTTTCTTTTGAAAACAATAAAAAGGATCTAATAAAAAGTAATAAATAACAGAAAATTGAATTATGAAAAGAAAACCAACTTTTTTTTTACTATTCGAACGTTGTAATGGAAAGTGCTGAACAACTTTTGAAAAATTTGGAGAACTTAAACTCAAAAAATGAATTAATACAAATTTTGATAGTTCAGTAAACAGTTCGGGAATTTCGATGCCGTTACATTTTAATGAAGTACCTTCATTATTTAACTTTAACGTTGAAAAACTAAAAAAAAAAAAAAAACTAAATAAACAATTATTTAATTTGCCATTATTTTTCCGCATTGGAGGGCAATACGAAAGTGTACATAGCAGGTACTTCATTCACAAACAAACATATTAACAAATATCCTTTTTGATAAAAAAAAAACAAAGAAAAAAATCTTAAAGAATGTACAAAAACGAAAATCGTAATTTGTCTCACTCACCTCTTGAGAAAATCTGTATACTGCGCTTGCCGTATGAGGCCAGTACGCATCATTATCGTTTGGAAGCATTGTCGTTCTATGGCCCATAATTTGCATTCCGTTATAGCAGTAATGGTCGCTGTACGCTGGCAGTTATATAATATGGCCAATTCACCCAAAACCTTTGCGCCGGATAGTGTCGACAGGTATTTGCCTTCGCGTGAGACCTCCACGCGACCCTCTGCAAATAAACAGATAAGAAGAGGAAAAAAAGTCAATAAAAAATTAAGTACATTGTACAAAACGTACAATACAAAATGATTATAAAAGCAATAAGGGATAACGTGAAGAGCTAAATAAACAAACAAACATAAATTTGCATTAATGCATTTTTATTACCACCACAGACTTGGCGGAGCTTTTGTGCATACCAACAGCTGGAGCACAAATGTAATTAACATGTACATATATATATACCTATACTAAATATATGTATGTATGTATATAATATTATGTTTGTAATGTATGTACTTAAACTTACATCCAAATAGGCTACATTGTCTGTTTGATATTTTTGAGTTTATTAGCTTTTGAGCTTTTATGCAGTTTGGAGAATGAAACCAACTACTATCTATCAATCTGTATGTTACCTTAATATAAGAAGGCCCTAACTCTTTCTTTCGAAATTCAGCTTTTCAAAAATGATTATTTGTTGCAGTGATTTTGAGTAACTTTCCAGTCGTGAAAATTGTATTTCTTGAAGACAGAAAATCAAATTAGCGAGTCATATATGTGGGGTTTGACTAACTGCCCTCTTAGTAACATATTCGCGAAAATATAAAATTTTTCTGCAGATCCCGAAATTAAGGCTGTCAGAAACCGAAGTTACCAGTAACTCCGCCCTAAAGTTAAAATCCACTTCGGCATTTTTCAAGTGTTTTAGCCAGGGACCGAACATAATAGTTATTGATGAAAACTGTTCTTGAAAAATTCACTATGAAGGAAATGTTCTACAACTAAGTGATACATACTAATTGATTTATTTTTTCTCGGAGAATCAAATTTGAAAATAAATTTTTATTTGTAATTTTTATGCAAAAAAAAAGACAATAACAATTACTTCTAATTTTTATTTTATAAATTCAACATAACAATTATTTTTGATTTTTATCTAAATAATCTATAAATAACAGTTAATTTTGATTTTTATATTATATGTCTTAGATAACAGTTATTGAAGACTTTTATTTATAAAATAAAATATTTATAATCAGTCGCCGACTTTTATTTTTTAAGTCATACCTATAAAAGTTATTATAATTTTTCGCAGTTAAGAAGGTGTTGGAGAGCAAAAGTTTACTACGACTTATACTAAAATGACTTTTATAGGTATGATTTTAAAAATAAAAGTCAGTGAATGATTTAAATTGACGACTTTTATAAATAAAAGTTTTCAATAACTGTTATCTAAGACATATATTAAAATCTAAAATAAGTGTTATTTACAGATTATTTAGATAAACATCAAAAATAATTGTTAATTTGGATTTATAAAATAAAAGTCAGGAAAAAAGTGTTATTTAAGGAGTAATTAGATAAAAGTCAAAAAATAATTGTTAAAGAGATTGCATTGCACGACGCTGGAAGGTGAGCATCTACTGTGATAGCTTAGCGGAAATCAGGGCATTGGGAGCGCTCAGGGTGCGCCTTAAGGCAGTCGGGAAATGCCTTACCTTTATATCTGTCGCGTCCGATTAATTCACTTGACTATATGCGCTGCGAATAAGTTTCATGGATGGGTCGAAGCTCGACGGATGGGTCGGTGGAGGGGTTACTTCCAGGAAGCTCTGCATCAAACTTAAGTTTAGGCTTCCAGATCATTGTAGTGTATTTCAGGCGGAGTTTGCTTCTATTAAGGAAGCAGTCGTTTGCCTGCTATTAGACGCTATGGCGGTAAGGGAGATTAATATCTACACAGACAGCCAAGCGGCAATCAGAGCCCTGGGCTCACTTACCGTACGCTCGAAGCTTGTTGGGGAACGACTTAATTCGCTTGAGATAGCGTTTGAATACTACTCGGTGCACCAGCCGAGGTATTTCTGTCCGAAGGTGAAAAGGGGGCGTAGGCTCGCTAAGCCGGATCTCTCGATTCTAAAGAGTCTAGTGACTGGAAATTTTCCTTTCGGGATTCATGCAGTGAGATGAAATATCTTATCGGACCCCGTTTGTCGCAGCTGCATGAAGGATGACGAGGTGGAGTCATCTCAACATTTCCTCCTGGACTGCACGGCTTTTACTATATTGCGGCGTAGGCACTTGGGTTCATACACTCTGGCAAGTCTGAAAGAGCTTTATGCCCTTGAACAGAGAGGCTTTGCGTCAGCGTAGCGAAGGTTGGGCTAAAACTAGGCAATACGTTACTGCAAGGTCTCTCAGGCCAAGGGTAGACCGGTCAACAGATCTCGTTATGATCACAAAGCCGCAACTCTCCATTTTATTGGGTGAATGGACAGTGAGATTGTAAATAATGCGGTGGGCCTAAATATCACACCGGATCTACACTGTCGCAGCTGCTTAGAGGACGATGAGGTGGAAACATCTCAAACATTCAGAAATTTTAAGTGGAGGTCTCCGGCACTGACATCTGCTGGCAGCGAAACTTCTTTCCGAACACACAACATTTTCCACTTCTCTCTTCACTCTTCGTAGTGGTATAACGAAGGACTCAAGAGAGTGTTTGCGATTGCCGATATCTTCACCGTTTGGTAGCATTAATGGTGTTTCGTTTTATCTATCAAATGTGGACTAGTGAAGATAGGTCTATTAAGTTTTTTTCGTCTTACATGTAAATAATAAGAACGATATGCTGAATTCGGGCTGAGTTCAATGTGGACTCCGGTAAGTATTTCGACTGAACTACGTATTTCTCATCAGTAGTCGCCTTTGAAAGGAAAGAGTTTTTGTTCGAATAATTTCAGAGCTATAAATATTCTTGAGTACCAAAGTCCGTCAAAATATATGCAAGTACAACATGTATCTATATCTATACATATGCACATAAAATGTAGATATGTATAAAATCATATACATAAATAGTTATGTATGCAATTAAGACTCAATTCAAAATGACTTAATAGTGACACCAATGAAGTAATACAAATAACAAGCCATCGAAGGAAATGATTGCAAAATGCAATTTTAGTGAAAACCAGCAGAGTTGTGTTTTTGGTTGCATTTAATTTTTGCATTCACGCATGCGCACAAGCTTTTTTTGTTACTGCGCATGCTACCACCGGTGCCGAAAAGTTTAGTCAACTTGCTGAATAAAAAAACCGAAAAAAAAAACATTCAAATAAACCGGTCGAAATGTCATTCGCAAAGCAAACTTAACCAGCTAGCAAAGAGCACCTACGACAGACTGACTACCTGACTGCCAGTGCGACTGTGTGACTTTGGACCGGCGAACAGCGTGCCGAAAGGTAAGGTAGACTGACTTGAGGCGACATGAGGGATTTAGCGGTTGGCTGCGGGCAACGTGTAAACGCATGTGCATTGCATTTACAACCAGCGGCTTGCATTGTAAGTCGATACCCAGCAAAAAATCGG